AAAATATAGGCACACTAAAAATGTGGTATAAAATTAACTTGAGGCTTTGTGTATAAGCTATATAAAAAACATAAATTAATTCCAAGTTTAGACTTGGGTCTCATCACCAAGAGATCTAGAGATCTCATTTTACATATGCAAATATTTCAAATTAAAAATACCCGACACACTTCTGATTCCAAGCATTTTTGGATAAGGAATACTCATTCAGCAGAGGCCCTCATCTATGCTTCCTTTCCCCATCCCTAAATGAGCTGAGGTTGGGGTCCAGAGTCACCAGCATTGACACAGTGCGATGAAGTAGAAAGAAACTTTGACACTGATGCACCCATTTACAGGAAACAAAGGCAGCATGCCTTACACAGGGAAGATGCTAAATAAATGGCACTCACATTTTCTGGAAGAAACTAATATATACAGGAAGAACTTTCTCTCTTGGCACTTCCTTTTGGTCACAGGAACTGCCTTTCCTGTGAAAGGTGGAAAGGAGAGAACAAAGCAACACTCTTCTCTTAAGACTGGACTCCCTGATCCTTCCTCTGCCCACTGCTTCCTCTCAAAGCAAGACCCTCTGAGATACAGCACAATGATTAACAGCCACTCTTGATCTGGAATCCCAACTTAGTCACTTAGGGCTATACAACTTTGGGCATATTTCTTACCTCTCTGTGCCTATGAAATGGGGTTGCTCATTTTATCCTAACTCCTAGGGTGGTTGTGAAGATTAAAGTAGTTAACATGTATGTGAAGCACTTGGAAAGAACTCAGCACATGTTCTTCTAACCTAGTCCACAGTGTTTCTGAACATGATGACTCACTCCCAGGCTTGAAAGATGCCCAGCTAACAGTCTTCTCATTTACTCCCACAGTAACAGGAGAAAGGAGAGGGAGGAAAACTTATATTTTTAATCCCATGACCTTGCTATACATATGTCATTTCACATTATCTTTAGAGCAACTTTGTTTTTTGGTGGTGGTGGTAATGGGATTTGAACTCAGGGCCTCACACCTGCTCTACCACTTGAGCCACTCCACCAGCCCTGTTTTGTGTTGGGCATTTTCAAGATAGGGTCTTGAGAACTATTTGCTCATGCTGGCTTTGAACCTCAATCCTCTTGATCTCTGTCTCCCAAGTAGCTAGATTACAGGTGTGAATCACCAGCGCCCAGTTTAGCCTCTCTTTATGTGAAGTACGATGATCTTTAGTTTACGGATGAGGAACTTAAGGCTCAAACATTTAAATAGCCTTCCCCAAATTACACAGCCCCCAGGTAAGAGGGCGGAAAGCCAAGGTGAGGACTCAGTGGTGTATGCCACTCAGTCAACCATAAAAGTCAGGTGCACCCCTCCCCAACACTGTCCTATGCTTAAGAGGAATTTTGCCTCTTAGAGTTGAAGAGCACTAGATACTATTTAAAGTGCTTCCATATACATTATCCCATTATCCTCCCTCATATTCTCCCATCCCACTAGCCCTTTAAGGTAGATGAGTCAGGGATTATTATACCCATTTTGCCGATGAGGGAGATGAGCCAGCATATTTTGATAAACTGGTAGAGCTATGCTTATAGCCTGTGGTAAAGCAGGATGCTGGACCCAGGGTTCTCTTCCATCCTCAAAGCTCCTCTTCATGGAACTATTTCCCAGCTCACTCTAGTCTGTGCTCAACTCCTCTACCCATGGGAGATGAGAGTGACAGTCACAAATGGACTCAGGCACTGCCTCACCTGAAAGTAGAGGAAAGACTGTTTAGTCCAAACCAAGAAAACAACCCTTCCCAGCCAGATCAGCCTCTCTCTACTCTTCTGAACTCCAAAGCTTCCTGCTCCTCCAAGTTTACACTCCCAGGTTGTCAGAAACTGCCACCTAGGCTTTTTAACCGAGCCGCAGAGGCTGTGAGGACCCCAACAGGTACTGAACAGATGACAAGCTCATATTGCTACAGGAAGACAAGAACACATGGCTCACCAGAAGCCAAGCCACAACACAGGCCCGGGCAATCCTTCATGAAAAGGAAGGGCACCTGAGCTTAGATGGACAGAGGTTGGGGCTTCATGCCACAAGAACTGAAGAGCAGTCACAGGAGCTGAAAGGGAGGTAGCTGACTTGGTTACAGAAGGAGGCAATGAGCTCTTTTCTCCAGCACAGCCTGCACCTGTCCCAATCCACACTCACAGGAATGTAAACTGAGTGTATCAGAGCACTAACTTAGTAAACTGAGAATGATCTGGAACTTCTCAGCCTCATCAGTGAATAAGCAACTAACTCCTAGCTGAAGGATGCAAAAAGGTACCTGAAGCATGATAAACTAGCATACATACAACCCAAGAGAACAGACCTCTCTACTCTTTCAAAGAGTGATAATAGGATAGTGATCCAAGTTTCAATTCTGCCATAAATCTTGAGGTCAAGAATCCCTCTAGCTGCTAGATTTCTCATCTATAATACAAAGATAATAACATCTACCTCTTGTGTTGGTATGCCAATGGATGAAGTCATCCAAGACCCTAGCAAAGCATCTGACGCATTACAGATGCTCAGTAAGTGTTTTGCTCTTTCCATCCTCAAACAAATACTTTAAATACAACCTTAGTCACCCTATAAATGGGGCTTCTCCAAGACCTAAATCGCCTGGGTTTGAGAAAAGAAGTCTGGCTGAGATGAAGAGTTTCTCTTGATTCTCAAAGCACAGGGTCCTTTCAGCTGCTACCAGAGAAACTGTGCTCCAGATTTTAGCTCTGGGTAAAGAAGAGTTCCTGTTCTTTTAGAATTCCTCTTACTCATCCTTTCTCTGGGATTGGACTCTGCTTCCTTGCCAAGGTCATTCTCTGTCAGGATTTCCCTCCCCATTGTGTATGCTGATGTTCTTACCCCTGACTTGAGACTGAGGGTGCTCTTCCACGTGGCCGTAGCCATTTACTCAAACGTGTCACAAAATGAAAAGAATCCTGGGCTGGGAGACAGTGCTCCCCCACCGCCCCGCCTTGGAGAACTTGCTACCTGACTCTCTGTAACACAGGCAAGTCAATTTACCAATCCAGAGGAAGGCAGCATCTCCCAGATCAGTCCTTGGAAAGCCCCCGCCTTCTGTCTCACAAAAAAATACTAGGAAGCTTGTTTATCTAGAGACAAGTACAGGAATGAGGACCCATGAAAAACATTACTGATTTGGACTCTTAAAAGCTGGTGGCATTTGGTCTTTCTTCCTGTGATTGCATCCAGCACCAGCACAAACAGTGAGTGGTTAAGTCAAGACTTTGCAGCCCGTCTATCCAACTGTTGTAGAAAAAAGACAGACTTCACAGCTGCTGCCACTTGGGAGCTTCCCAACACTTAGGTGACTCTCCATCTACCCCAGGACAGACCAGCCAGCAGCCCCTGAGTACATCCAAATTGAACTGACTACATTTTGGCTAAGACCCCACTCTAGGAGTGTGTTATTGGCCTGGTGAGAAAGTGCTGGGGCAATTAACCCAGTTGAAGAAAGCCTCAAGTTGCTACCTGACACTCATATCTATCCCCACCCCTTCCCTTTACTCTTCCAAAGAACTAGAGAAACAAATACCTTTATCTCCACAAGGAAATAAAAGGGTTCCTTGCTGGGAAATTCCCTTACGGAAAAGAAATAACCAAGATAAACAACTCTATTGCCTTTGGCTCAAGTTAGTGAAGGAAGTTGCTGAGAACAGGAGTCAGCTGGGAACAGGAGTCATGGGGCAAAGCAGTGAGAGGAGATAATGCCCCTGGGTTCCCTCCTGCTTAGTTCATTTATCTTTATGGGTGTCATTACCGCCCAGGGCTTATTATCACTGTTTTCTCCTTTACCACTCTTTGTTAAATTCATTCCAAAGTTTAAGTCTGTCAAAGTCCTAAGAATTCTGTTGGGAACTGGGGATTCCCCTCTCCTCTCTTCTCCAGGCCATAGTTTGGAACCACCAGACAGCTGCAGCAAGGCAAGGGCTTGGGCCTCCACCCTCCCCAGCCTTGAGTTATGTTCATGGTGATGACAAAGTCCACATGGACTACTTTGGAGTCTCCATCTTTGTCTGCCAAACCCCATCAGGCAGAAAAGACTATAATATCTACATTTTTAACCGTGACTCCATAACCAAGTCACTGGGAAATCTTGGGTGTCACTGAGCATCTCAAGATCTCAATTTTCTTATCCATAAAATGGTTGTGATTATATCTGTCTGACTTATTTCAAGGGAAGTAATAAAGATCAAATGAGTAACATTAAAGACAGTGCTTTGATAAGTAGCAGGGGCTCTACAACCCACAGGAATAGCAGCAGATATAAACACGCTATCATTATTTGGACAAGGTTAAGAGCATACATACATACAGATCCTGGTCTGTGGAGCCAGACAAAGTTGGGTTCATATCTTCCCCCAGTCCCATGAGATAGCACATGTTAAGTTATGTGCACCCTGCCTGGAACATGGTAAGAGAACAATTGGGGATGGTGATGACCCTTATTACACTTACACCTTAGAAATTATTAGATGTCCTCGTAAATCAGTTTGCTGATCTAATACACAGAAACTATGCACCTCTAGGGATGTAGGAGGGCAGCTGAAACAGAAAGATGGAGCCACATATTGGTAGTAACCAATCTTCCAGAGAGCCCTTCCTAAAGACTTACAGTGTGTTCAATACTGTATCACCTGAAGAGATACAAAAGAATTGTCACCAATAACCCTTTCCCAAAGGAATGTGCAGCTTAGGTGGGAAGGCAAAAGCCACTTATAGCTATTGAGGAATAATCACACTGTGGAATGAATGAGCTTTTATGGGAAAGAAAAAGCCATTCACTCATATGCTCAACAAGATTTATGACAGTTGACAGAGACAGAAAGTCCAATAGGCATTATAGAAACTCCAAGGTCAGCTGGACTCAGAATTCAGAGAAATTTTGATCCTTGTGGTTACTATCTTACAGCATGTCACAAAGAAGAATTTGGTGTAAGTGGCACAGCCCCTCTTGGGAGCCACCAATGATGAAGATTTTCCTGCTCACCTTCCTGCTAGCTTTCCTCCCAGGTATGTCTGCCAACTCCTCAGGGCTCTACTCCTCCCTCTCCCCCAATTCCAGGATCTAGTTTCCTGGGGACACTGAAATCAGACTCAACCCAAAGGATGTCCCTCTCAAAATGTGTATCCTGGTTCAACCTGTAATCCTAGCTACTCAGAAGGCAGAGATTCAGAGGACTGAGTCTAGGTCCCTGGTGTAAATTGAGACACTATCTCAAAAATAACCAAAGGAAAAATGGCTGGAGGCATAGCTCAAGTGGTAGAGTGCCTTCTTAGCAAGTGTGAAGTCCTGAATTCAAACCCAAGTTCTGCCTCACAAAAATTTTTAATGTGTACTTCTGTAAGAAGGAGTTTCACAGAGGCAAAGCAAAAAGGTTGAGACTGAAAATGGATTGGTGAACGTTAGAAATCAGGGACAGAGATGGAAATTCTTAATTTCAAGGCCAGGGGTCTGGGGAAGGGTCTTCATTGGAGATCTTAAAAAGGACTTGACCTCTCCGGGCACTGGTGGCTCATGCCCATAATCGTAGCTACTTGGGAGGATGAGATTGGGAGGATCGCATTTCGAGGCCAGCCCAGGCAAATATCTTACAAGACCTCATCTCTAAAATAACCAGATCAAAATGGACTGGAGGTGTGGTTCAAGTGGTAGAGTTCCTGCTTTGCAAGTGTGCAGCCTTGAGTTCAAATCCCTGTCCCACAAAAATGAAAAAAAAAGAATTTGACCTCAAACCAAGCATCTTTATGACTTGTAGGATTTGTACGAAATTAATTATCTTTCCAGAGTCTTTTTTTTTTCTGTATTGGTGCTTGAACTCAGGGCCTACACCTTGAGCCACTCCACCAGTCCTTTTTTTTTGTGATGGGTTTTTTCAAGATGAGGTCTTGCAAACTATTTGCCCAGGCTGGCTTTGAACAGAGATCCTCCTGATCTCTGCCTCCTGAACAGCTAGGATTACAGGTGTGAGCCACCAGCGCTGGGTGAGTCTTAATATTTTTATCTAGGAAAAAAAATCATCTACAAAGTGTTCTTGGAAATATAAGGAGGTAGAGATAGAAAATGTAAAAGTATAACAACCCTAGAAAAGTGGTGATTTTCTTTAAAAAAAAAAAAAAAAGACACCAGAAGTTCATCATCCATTGCTCTTGAAAAGATAATTACTAGTGAATTAGAACTTAATAATGACTAAGCAATCATTTACCCAATGCAGAAATTGTTAGCGGTAATATATTGAAATAGTCCGCAGAGGGCACACGTATTCGGTTGAAAATGGCCTCTCCTCTGGGTGGGTTTCTGGATCCCTTCAGCTGGTTTCCTCTCCCCAGGGTCTCAGAAAGCCACTGTCTTCTGTTCCCACAGGAATCTCCACAAAAAGTCCCATATTTGGGCCTGAGGAGGTGAGTAGTGTGGAAGGTAACTCAGTGTCCATCAAGTGCTACTACCCATCCACTTCTGTCAACCGGCACACCCGAAAGTACTGGTGCCGAGTGGGAGCCAATGGCCGCTGCACAACTCTCATCTCCTCGGAGGGCTACATCTCCACGGAGTATGCGGGCAGAGCCAACCTCACCAACTTCCCCGAGAACGGCCAATTTGTGGTGAACATTGCCAAGCTCACTCAGGATGACTCTGGAAACTACAAGTGTGGCCTCGGCATAAATAGCCGAGGCCTGTCCTTTGATGTGAGCCTGGAGGTCAGCCAGGGTAAGGGTCCACGCTCCTTGGGCTTCTGGGGGAAATCAGAGAAAATCATCTCAGCTGTAATGGGAAGGCTTGAGAAAGAATTCCTTACAGGAAGTGTGTCCTGGCATGGGGTCCAAAGACGCCTCCCTCCTGAGGCAAAGACTTTTTCCAACAGGACACAGCACTGAGACAGATGAGGCCTGTCTGGGGGCAGTGGGTGAACCTTTCTAAGTCTACCTGGTCTTAGGCTTTACTGAGGCCCTAGCTTAGACTGGGATCAGGAGAACAACTTCTCTTGGTGAATTTGTTGGAGAAGGGACAAGACATCTATAAGCTTAAAAAGATAGATAAGGTGCTGAGAAATTTAAATTCTGACCATTAATGCACCCTTTAGATGAAGGCCTTGGGCCACCAGGAAGTTGCTTTTAAAATGAATGCTTTTTAATGGGATTCGTTAGTCCATCCGAACTATCAGCATAAATTAGATTCTCAGTTCTTGACCAAAGTCTTGGATTCTGAAAAGACAGGCCACTGAAATAGCCTGTTCTAATTGAAGAAAGAGAGAAAAAGAAAGGCTCTTTTTGACAAGAGTTCAACAATGAGGAAACTGGATAGTCAAATGCAACTTAGAAGAGAAAGAATCCCAAGGGAGAAATTCGAAGGGACTCTCAAATATATGTCTTCCTCCTTTAGAATATGAATCTGTATACTAAACAAAGAAGTCATTTCAGTGGTGAATGAAATTTATAACACCATGGACTCTTAAGAGCTGAAGTGTACTCAGAGTTCACCTATTTGGACACCTAGAAGAACACTGCAGATGTTGGCTCTGACTAACACTTTCAATAGCAGAAACTCACTCCTTCATAAGACAACAGCCCATTACATGGTTGGACTGTTGGAATTTTTAAAAACTTTCATTGCTGTACACTAAAATCCATATTTACAGTCATTCTGCTCATTCCCACACATGTTAATTGGGGTATTGTACAGACAACAGCAAAGGAACCAAATGTGAAAGGGAAAATGTCTGTGCCCTCCGATCTGTGAAGAACATGGTTAACTCTAGCCTAGATAGGATGAAATAAGTGATCCAGATGTCTCAGGTGGGCACAGAGGAAGGAGAGACTAGAGCCAGACTGGGGAAGGCCTCCTGGAGAAGACAACAGTCAAGTAAGGTTCTGAATATAATGGAGAAGACGAGGGTGATCGCTGACCTCACTCATCATAACAGTCATGGCTGACACCTCTATAGTGAAAGACAAATTCACAAGACAAATACATTTAATCAAAATTTTATATGCATAAAACTTCAGAACAAAGATCCAAACATCTGATTTTATGCTTAAGTTCCATAAAGCAAGAATGGCCATATAGAGATAAGACAGAACAAAAAAATTAGGTTAATGGGGGCAGACTGAGTGGGAAACCCAGCAAGTGCCATCTGTTCAGATTCTTCTTTCCCCTCTCTCCCAATCATAGCATTTCTTCCTCCTAGGTATGAGGCAGGATCCCTCAGCAATGAGAGTCTTAACACATACAAAGGTAGATCAAGACTTTCTTTACGGCCAGCTATTATAAAGAAATCTGGGGAGAAAGAGTATTATTTTTGTTTTATGGATGGCTTTGGGGTAAAGGAATCCTGGTTTCTATGGCCCACCTTGGGGAAGAGGAATTCTAGTTTCTATTGCTTATCTTTGGGGAGAATGGGGTGAGAGACAGAAGGACATAAGATGGTCAGAGAGAAACTTTGCTTTTGATGCCTTTACTTTGGGGTATAATTTCCTAAGCCCCAACAGACATATTCTGACAGTATTCCTCTGGGGAGTAGGACATTCCAGGACATAGGCCTACCCTGACCCTCACTGGGAATAGCAAATGGTCCCATATTACCAAACGGTGAAATTACAACTTACCTCTGCCTCCATCCTGCAGGCCCTGGGCTCCTAAATGACATACATGTCTACACTGAGGACCTGGGCAGAACAGTGACCATCGAGTGCCCTTTCAATCCTAGCAATGCTCAAAATAAGAAATCCTTGTGCAAGAAGACAGACAAGGATTGCAAGCTTGTCATTGACTCCACTGGGACTGTAAACCCCAGCTATCAGAGCAGAACAGACCTCATTATTCAAGGTACCAGTCAAGATAAGTTCAGCGTTATCATCAGTCACCTGAAGCTCAGTGATGCTGGGCTGTATGTCTGCCAGGCTGGGGAAGGATCTACTGCTGATCAGAAAAATGTTGACCTCCAGGTGCTAGAGCCTGAGCCAGAGCTGGTTTATGGAGACCTGAAGAGCTCTGTGACCTTCGACTGTTCCCTGGGCCTTGATTTGGCCAATAAAGACAAATTTCTGTGCCGGGTGAACAAGCAGGAAACCTGTGATGTGATCATCAATACCCTGGGAGAGTGGGATCCGGCCTTTGAGGGTAGGATCTTGCTCATCCCCAAGAAAGACAATGACCGCTTCAGCGTGCTGATCACTGGACTGAGGAAAGAGGATGAAGGACGCTACCTGTGCAAAGTCAACTCTTCTGTTCTGCCGCAGGAAGAATGGCCTGTCCAGGCTTGGCAACTCTTCGTCAATGAGGGTGAGACTCCAGAGCGGGGAGAGCGAAGGGGTGGGATGGTCTGGCAGTTGAGAGGCTACTTTGGCTTCCTGAGTCTATTCATCAATGTTTTGCATCAGTCAACACTATCCACTCACTGGAGAACCCTGATCTAAATGTACTGTGGGCAGCAGTACAGGAGAGCTAAAATATGCAGCCTCTGTCTGCCTTGTGCTAGCTGCACTTATTCTTCTCTGTGATCAAAGCATTTTTATGGCTAACCCTAGTTACTAGAAATAAGGAGAGCAAAACTCCTAATGGAGGAAGACTTGTAGATTATCTGAGTTTCAGTGCCATGGTGGGCTCTGTCCCCTACCCTGACCCGTCCCTTTCCCTGACTCCCTATTCCTCATGCTCAGATGGGAGAAGAATTGGCCTGTCTTGGTCTCAAAGTTTCCAAGAAAGGCAATGCTCCAGCTCCACTCCCATGTCTTTTGGGGTTATTTGTTATTCAGCACAATCTGACCCACCAGCTATACTTTGGAGAGCCATCAACATGGAACATGTTGCGTAGAGTTGCCCTCGTGAGAAGCAGCAAACCAGTACTTTTTGTCCCAGGTATCTTTCCTTGTGACCTTTCCTTGAAGGGCCTATATTCATTGGGCATCCTTCGTATTTTCAGCTCTGGGTCTTCATCACATCCTCCCCTCTTCATTTGCCCCAGTTCTCTCTGGACCTCATTGTTAGCAGTCTAGAGAATGGCTGTCCTCTTTGGGAAGCCCCTCAGCATCCTTGACTATTAAAATTATCTGGGCTACACAGTTTATATTTTCAATCATACACATTCTAAATAGTGTCTTAATTTAGATAGAGCCCATTGGGCCATTTTTTAGGATGAGCTGAGAAATAGATAAAAACTTACCAAGAAGGGAATTTAGTAAGAAACCATAAGAGAAGAGCTGATGTTCTCTTAAATCCCCCCCACACACACTTTCTGCTCAGTACAAGGTGGGGGAAAGGAATAAAATACCCAGACTGGTGGTGAAGTCACTGGAGTCTGGTTCTAGGGCTCCAACTATAGACTTTGTGACAAGAGGAAAGTCTTTTCCATTTCCTGAGGAGAGAGAGATGATTTGTCTGAACTTCCCTCTCCACTCTGGCCGAAACCCTGGAGAGATAGCTGCTCAAGCCTCACAGGGTATTTTTGTGTCACTGTCTTTTCATGTTATCTCTGTCTGTGCTTCCAGAGACCACAATGCCCCAAACTCCCTCTGTGGTGAAGGGTGTGGTAGGAGGCTCGGTGACCATACTCTGCCCCTACAATAATAAGGACAGCAATAGCGTCAAGTACTGGTGTCGCTGGGAAAAGTCTTCAAATGGCCAGTGCCCACTGCTGGTGGAGAGCCAGGGTCTGGTTCAGGAACAGTATGAGGGCAGGCTTGCGCTGTTTGAAGAGCCAGGCAATGGTACCTACACAGTCATCCTCAACCGGCTCACCACCCAGGATGCCGGCTTCTACTGGTGTCTCACTAATGGTGATACTCGCTGGAGGACCACAACAGAGCTCAAGGTTGTTGAAGGTAAGAACAAAACTGGGAAGGGGGAGAGGAGAAAGGCCCAAGATGGCTCTCAGCAGCAACAGTTTCACACCCACCATCCCCAGCCACCCTTCCTCCTCTCTTACCTATATCCATGCTGATGTATGGACAATCCGCAGAAGAAAGCCTACCTGTCAGGAGGTAGGTACCTGTGACAAGCAACCCAAGATCTTCCAATTCCCACTTGTAGCCCCTCCTAATATCAGGAGCATTGGCTTCTTTTGCAATAGGTAGATGTCACCTGAAGTAGAGTATTAAAGAGGTCTTTGTCTTGAGTCTAGAAGAAGAGTAAGGGAAGCACGTGAAAGCAATAAGCAAGGTTCTACATTCTATAGCAGACTCTGGACTGATTATTGTAGGCATTGGTAACCATTATGACATTAGCACATGGTTTCATTTCTTTGTATTCAGCATAATGTGTTTATTTACCATGTTGTCCAAACCTGAAATGTGGACAAAAATTGCTATCACTCTTACTTCAGTGCAGCATCTCCAAGTGCCAACTTCTGTGCCTATTTCTTCCTCTTTTCCTTCTCCAGGAAAACCAAGCCTCAAGGTACCAAAGAGTGTGACTGTTGCACCAGGAGAGACTCTCAAGCTCTCTTGCCACTTCCCATGCAAATTCTACTCCTTTGAGAAATACTGGTGCAAGTGGAGCAACAAGGGCTGCCAGGCTCTACCCAGCCAAGATGAAGGTGCCAGCCAGGACTTTGTGAACTGTGACCAGAACAGCCGGATCGTCTCCATGACCTTGAACTCAGTTGACAAGGAGGATGAGGGCTGGTACTGGTGTGGGGTGAAACAGGGCCATAACTATGGAGACACTGCAGCTGTCTATGTGGCAGTTGAGACGTCAGCAGGTGCGTGTTCGAGGGCAGGGTCTAAATCCCACAGCACCCCATGGCCCTTGTCTAATGGACTCTCAACCAGGGTTGGCCCCTAGGTTTAACTATAAGAGGCTGAGGCACTGGGGAGCAAGGTAGCTGGGAGTCCTCCACAAAGGGCATCCCTCATAAACACATAAACCAAGTAAAAATTGTGGGTTTCCTATTTAACTTTAGCATTAAGACATATCCCATAGGTCCCCTTCAAACCAGATTGAGTCCCATCTATACCTAGAAATTTTTTATAGAGAGAAATTTCAGAGTCACTATCATATGTAATATATTTGTCCTTTGTCTCTCTTCCCAAGCCTCAAAAAAGGTGAGGATACTTTCATTTACAATGCTTCACAGAGAAAATTAAGGCACGGGGCTTGGTGGAGGTGTAGCAAAGTAGCAGAACACATATTTAACATGCGCAAGGCCCTGGGTTCCATCCCCAGCATCAAAACAAAAGATTAAGACAAGTCCATTTAGTAGGTTTGCATTTCCTGACTCTTTTAAATGTTGCATGATATTTTACCCATATGAGGATATTTTTAGCCCTCTAGAAAATCTCAGTGAGTCTGAGTCCAACTCGTCTGGCCCATTAAGGAATCATTACCAGGCTACTAACACTGTTGCACCCAGCCCCACAGTTGGGAGGCCTGTGAAAAATCACTTTGGCCCTAAGTAATAGGTCAGCCCTTAGTCTCAGATGGATTTATGACATGGAGCCTTGAAGATGGAAATGAATTTGGTAGCAATGGGGCAGAGATCATTCTCTGATGAGAAGGCTATAGCCATCCTAGATCCCACCCCAACATCCTTGAGTTGCAACCCTGACCCTGTGATTCCTGAAGTCTCCCTCCTCAGACTCCCTAACCTAACAAAAACACCACCACCACCACTGGCCCATAACTCAGTCCTTGTTCTGCTCTGCTCCAGGGTCCCGGGATGTTGCTCCAGAGAATGCAAATGCTGCTCCTGGGGAGGAAGTGGAAGAGTCCCGTGTCAGGGAACTTGAGAACAAAGCCATTCTGAATCCCAGGCTTTTTGCGGAAGAAACAGTGGTGAAGGAGGCAGGAGGCCAATCCCAGGCAGGAGACCAAGCCCAGGAGGGCAGAGCATCCGTAGGTGCTGGCAGGTGAGGAAAGTTTTGGGGCTCTCCAGCATAGCCTACTGTCTCTTGAATAGTGTGGGCAGCTTCCCACTGCCTCTGTGCTTGAGAGGTCCCCTCAGCTCTTCTCCCATGGCAGGGGTGGTGTTTAAACTTTGGTTCAATCTCCCAGGCCTGGGAGTCAGAGAAAGCCTGGTCCTTACCTTGCCAGGTCTGGAAAGCTTCTTAGACAGGAATAGGGAGCCACATCTAGAGGGCTAAATGCATAAACTGGGAGGAATGCTAGCTGAGGCACATCCTGGGCCCTCAAATCTCTCTTCCAGTGATGAACTGACTTAATCCTTCTTCCAGCTCTGAGGGACAAAGCGGGAGCTCCCATGTGCTGGTCTCCACCCTGGTGCCCCTGGGCCTGGTGCTGACAGTGGGCGCTGTGTCTGTGTGGGTGGCCAGAGTCCGGCACCGGAAGAATGTGGGTGAGTCCCCAGGATGCTTCTTACCTCCATCTCTAGTCCTGAGCCCTCAGCCTTGGCTCAGCTGCCCGAAGAGGAGGCCACCAGGGTCTCCTTCTTTCCATAGGCTCACACAAGGATTCTAAGAAAGCAGGTAGAGAAAGATAAACTCCCATACCTCCAAAACTTAACTTCAGAGATGCTATCTCTGAAGGCTATCTCCAGAGTCTAAGTTCAGAGGCAGGGCTACTCAGAAGAAGATGCCTTGATGTCCTCATGGATCAAGACAGGGTGATAATAATCACTTCACAGGGCTGGATGTAAAGGACAGAAAGGGGTGTTTTGCATTGAGAAGCAAAGAGTGACAAAGGTCAGGGATCACTGAGTCTTGATTATCCTTAAAAAGACTCAGATCATGTCTATTCTATTGGATCAGAGGTGAGCAGCCAGAGGCCACCACCCATTCAGCACCCCATAGGCCTCGGTTGTTCCTCCCAAAGAGGAGCCCCCTCACCCTGGTCCCTTCTGCCCCTGCCTTGTCCATGTACTAATTCTTCTTTCTTCCTGACAGACCGCATTTCAATTAGAAGCTACAGGACAGACATCAGCATGTCGGACTTCAACAACTCTGGGGAGTTTGGTGGCAATGACAACTTGGGGGCCTCTCCAGTAGCTCTAGAGACAGTTCTTGAAGGAAAATGTGGTATGTCTCAAAAGCATGTCCAACCTCTAGAAGAGCAGAACGGAACCTGTCACTTTGGGGTGGGAATAGAGCTAGCGAGGGCTAACCACACTCTCTCTATATACAGAGCTGGAGACCACCACTGAAAGCATCACAGACCCCAAGGAACCCAAGAAGGCAAAAAGGGTAAGGTTGAGGAAGGAGAAGGAGGCTCTACTTGTGTGACAAAGGAGTTGCAGCATGTGGACTGCAGTTAGACCTCAGGACAAAGTCATCTCCACATGGGTGGTGACCCTAGAACAAGGAAGATGGGGCAGTGTTCAGGAGGACTTTCTAAGGGGGCGACATATCTTCCTGATTGTGGGGTATTGGTGTGGAAAAGGCTGAGGAAGGAGGGGTGCTGCTTTTCTAGGCTGTGTGCCTGCAGGAGGTCAGGAAGGCAAATGCATGAAAGATGTGGTCACAGGTGGGGAAATCACATGTGGATGTTCTTTCTGGACTATGGAACCTGGGGACTTGCCATGGGTCACCCAGCCTCCCTGGAGGGTTTGCTCAGGACCAGCCTTTTGCCTGTGCCTGAAAGACATTTCCTGGTGGGGGGCAACTTGATAATCACTAGAAGCCCCTGTCCACCTCAGTCAAGTGCCACATTAGCTGAACTCTCAGCAGAGGCAACACCTGCTTTGGGTTAATCGATTACCCTCCTCTCGTGCCTCCCTAAGGCTCCCTAGGATAACACCTTGCCTCTAATCCTGAGATGTTGCCACTTTTTATCAAATCTGCTGTCCCATGGACCAGCAGAGACTACCGCTTTTCTCACAATTAGGAGATAGAGTCAGTGCTAGAGGCAGCCTTCCCTGCTAGCCTGGTGGTGCTAAAAACCTACACATATGGGCTGGTAGAGAAAGAAAAACAAAGACCTCTTAGGCTAATGCCAGCTTAGACCACCTTGTCCATGGGCTGCGTGGGCACAGCTTCTGGGGACAGGCCCCATCAACAGAGGTGGTTCCACCCCACGTGGTGGAAGGAGGTTGTGAGACAGAAGGAGATATTTTTAGAGCCTGCAACTTTCCATTTCTCAAAATTAGTCCCTCCTGGTGAGCACAGGCAGGGGCTGGACTGAGAACAGGGGTCACACAGGCTTGTATTGTTCAGGCTAAGATGGAGAATTCAGGACATTGATGGCATTCTGTCCTTCCCAAACTCTGTGCACTGATGCCTGTCTTGTTTCCCCCTAGTCATCCAAGGAGGAAGCTGACATGGCCTACTCAGCTTTCCTGCTCCAGTCCAACAACATCGCTGCTCAGGTCCAGGACGGTCCCCAGGAAGCCTAGGCAGTGCCAGCTACCTGCTCCAGCCCATGACAATCACCTTCAGAATCATGTTGATCCACTCACAGCCTGCATTCACCCCTCACCCAGGCTCTTCCCACCTGCGCTGGTCCTATCCTCAGTGGTATCAAGGCCTAGCCTAATTGTTCCTGTTGGGGGTGGAGAGTGTGTGGGGAGTTCCTATCTGAAGCTTATTTTTGCTGAAAGGTGTGGAGGATTCAGATCTATAGTGCTCTCTAAAAGAAAAGGGATCAGGGCAGGGGGGCTCATTTCAGGAAGGAGAGCCATTTGGAGGCTCTCTAAACCTTCATGATAGATCCCAATGGGTTTTTCCCCTCACTCCAGTCTATTTCTTCCTTCTTCTCTTCCTCCTTCTCTCATTCAAAGGACACATTTGAATACTTTCTAGAATCCAGGTGTCCCACTAGATGCTGGGACAGATATGCTGTACGCCCACCTGAAGTCTCTCTATAAACATCACTGAAAGAGGCACCAGCTCTTCTCAGTGTCTAAGACCTGACATCCTCACCAGGTATACTCACTTCTGCCCTTACTGCGTAACACCATTAAATGCCTGGAGTCCCAAGCCATACACACGTCATTAAAAATTGAAATTCTTCCCATTTCATGGGTAAGAACACTAAAGTCTTTATAGGAGAAGAGTTCCTCTCAAGGGCACCCAGTGACATGAACTAATACCAAACCAGATTTGGCAGCTCCTGTCCTCTTGACCAGGGTTTCCACTACAAGATCCCTGCCCTTCTGTTGAAAACAGAGTTTTAGAATGAGGAGGAGGAAGAAGAAGAGAAAACTGTGTATGGAGGTTGATCTCTCCCCGGCCCCACCACAGGGAATACAACCCTTTTCCCTTCCTGTCACCCACATGAATCTAAGACAAGAAAACAAACATTTTTCAACCCCTCATATTTGAAGAGTTCCAAGTGGAAGGGAAGAAGAGAGACCATTTGAAGTTTCTCTGAAAGGTCTGAACTCCCAAGAGCTAAAGTTGAAAGTCTTTTTCCCTCTTGGCTCTGTGCCTCCACCAGTATCTACATGCTGGCATTTGCTAACAAATCAGAAATGTGATTTAATTAATAATTAAAAACTGTGATTTCCACCAAGAAGGCTCAGAGTGCATTTGTCCTCATACCTGTGGTTTCCCAGAGCTTTTTGCTTTGGTCCCACTTGGTGTATCCAACCAACAGGTTTTCTCCCCTCCCCCTGCTCCACCTTTGAGGTGGGGCTGAAGGTGGGCCTGAAAGTGGGACCAAGATTGTCTTCAATAAAAGAATTAGTTTGTATCTATTCCAGTGGTCAAGACTCTGAAGTCTGATGTTGCAAAACTTAATTAAGACTATCGATAGAATAAACTGAAGCAGTATGATCAGTGCTTTCATAGACACTTTTTTTAAAATCTTGGTAAACATCTATGGAATACTTAAACTTGAACCTTATATGTTCCTGTGATACCCTCCAAATCAAGAGGTGGCTAATCAAAACCAAGATAACCACATGAGTTAACTCTCCCTATGAGATTGTCAACTAGAAACCAGTTGGGGCGGGGGGGTGGGCAGTGATAACATAAAGGATCCCATTGTCTATTAAGATCATCCTTGGTTCTAGCACTAAACCATGTTGAATCCTATAAGGAATGCCCAAACTGTCATCCACAGGCAGCTTACTCCCCTCTCCTATCCCTAGACTCTTCCTCAGGACCTGTGTGTATGGAAATCTCTCTGGAAGAGAGTTTTCCCTAGTCTTCTGTCTTTCTTGATGTGACCCTGGCCTTATACCCAGGCCTTGATATAATGCCTCAAATGCAAGACACTTTCCAACCCACTGGGACTTGGACTTTAGTCTTGGTCTCCCCTCTGGCCCACTGACAAAGAGCCCACTCTCAGTTTCCTGGTGCCACCCTAGATCAGAGTCATGGGCTCCTCCCCAGGCAGGAGATGCAGCCATCAGGAATATCCATCTCTGTCTTCTCTGTGATGGAAATGCAGATCTAGCTTCTCCTGGAATGAAACTAAATTCCAGGAGAACTAAAATTAAAGCATGTCAGAACCCATCACTGTTTTACCCCCAGGAAGCTGCTCCCTGACCCACCAAAGAGCCGTGTCTGTGACAGAGGATGAAAATATAGCTTCCCATGTAGTTTATCCCAGTCTCTGGAATCAAAAGTTAAGACGTGTCACTAAAGCCACAGGCAATCATATGTTACTCCTAACTGATACTCTCAATAAGTAATAGTGAGGAAGAATAGACAGAGGACAAGGTGATTGGAAAATTAAAATTTTTATGACTACGTCACACATTAAGCCAGGCTCAGGAACTAAAACGGAACCAGGAAGTAAAACTGAAAATCACCAAGAGCACAAGCATTCCTCCCATTACTCTCTCTTCTTTTAGATACTGAGTTGCATTCTTCCCAGATGAGTAATTTAGTCTGAGTATACAAGATGATTTCTTGACCAGAAAGGAATGCCCTAAATGTTTCGCCCATTATCTCCATGTTTTGGATAATAACAAGACCCATCCATGTTTCTGAATAACAACACACTCACCCTAAACCCTAGCAAGATGGTTAGGGTTTGCTAAGTGACATGACCACATATTTATTTAGCTATGGGTTCAAGCTGGAATCTCCCAGCTTAGAAAATATAAATATACCTGGGGCAAGGATTGCCATTTCAAGCCTCTTGCTGCCACCTCCTATGTATCAGAGAGTACTCCTTTCTCCTTTCTATTTCTCCCTGCTTTGCTAAATAAATCCTTGTTAAACTTCCACATCATGAGATTCTTTTTTGTGAAACCTCTTGAAATGCTTTCTTCCATAGGTTTCAAGTTCCTGCAATTTAAGTCAAAATTGGAAAGCTGAGTTGAAATATATATTCCCCTCCCCCTTTATTGGGGAATCCTTCTTATTCCTTTCTTTTCTTGGGTGACAATAGCAAGTGTAACAATACACTGCCCAAAGTCCATCTGCTCCTCATGCAGCACACAGAAGCCCTCTTCCAAAGGAAGCCTGCTCACAAGTGGACATGAATTCTGGGAGGACTCTATTCAGCCCAGTACAAAAAGGAGTAACAATGGGCTGTGGGACTGATGATGATAAAAAAGTTAGCAATGACTACCAACTATTCTGGAACTTCTTAAATGTTTGATGACAAGGAAATCTTTCTCAACTTCTTGAATTATTCCTTTTGAAAATCTATTATATAATGATATGACTCTGTGTTACTAAGTGCCACCAGTGTTAGAAATTTGTTTTAGTCTTTGATTTTGTTTTGTAAAACTAAAAAATATATTTCTACCTTGTCCAAGTCTTTCCCAAGACTCAAGAGTGAACAACTGTCCTAAAAACAGTAGACGGCAGCAAGAGGAACCACCTTGCTGTGGTCTGTGATGGTAGTCCACAAGACAAAGAAATCGGAAGTCCCCCACACACACATGCACCTACTCAAGTTTCCCTAAAATAATTAGCTCTGCTATGGAGTCTGTGCCATAAAAATAATGAGGGATTATCTCAGAAAGAATACATGTCTAAGTGGGCAAAGGGCACATGAGAGAGATCTAAGACTAAGAGCAATGGCCCCCAGACCACCACGAAGCTAAAGCAGGAACAGAGAGAAGATTGTCCAGTCATGTGCACCAAGGAGATCTAGAGCATCTCTGCCAACACTGATAAAGAAAAGGGCAGCCTGATGTGGTGGGGCATGTCTGTAATCCCAGTACTCTGGAGGCTGAGGCAGGAGGATTGTCTGGGCTACACAGTGAGACCCTGTCTCAGAAAACAAAACAAAAAAAAATTAAAAAGGAAAAAAGAAAAAGGCAGCATGGGCTGGAGTTGTGGCTCAGTGATAGAGCACTTGCATAGGCCCTGGATTCAATTCCCAGCACTCCAAAAAACACCCAAAAGGGAGGAGGAAAGGAAGGGGAGTGAAGGAGAAGGAAGGAAGGAAGGGAGGGAGGAAAGGAGGGAGGAAGGAAGGAAAAAGAATGACCATCAATCCACTCTTGCTAGAGCCAATAATCTTTTCCCTAGGTATGGGGATATGAACATTTTAAACTCCAGGGTTTTCTCATATATTTGAATTTTTAACCTTAAAACAATGGGAATATGAACATACCCAGAAATCTTAGTCACCAAAATTCCGCACTTATTGTAGAAGAAAGTCATAAGGATGCTTATTGTGAAGGCCAGTGCTCCCAAAACCTGGTTTCTATGGAGTTGCTCGCTCTGGAGCGGGCAAGCCTGTGGCCCAACGTGCTGGAACAAGGGACCTGCAGAGTGCCTGACACAGGAGTCTCTATCAAATGGGGAAGAGGCAGCTGAGTCCACCAGACAGTGGGATTCTCACAGTTCAGAGGGGAGCACTGAGTCATGGGGAGGAACACCTGATCATGAAGGCCCTTCATTTGGATAGGACCAGAGGATGGTCCTTCAGAGCCTGGCCATGGGGGAGGTCAAGGTATAGTAATGCAGTAACCAAGCAGAACTCAGAGCTGCCACCTCCACCCTGTGACAATGACAAATCTCCTCTACTCACTCTTACTATACTCCAGGCTGGGTGCTAAGCCCTTAGAAGACTTGCCTCGTGCCATTCTCACAGCCATGCTGTGACATGGCAAGGGTCACAAACCTAAGTGAAGAGGCCACTATGGAGAGTGAATGAATTCACCTTCCACTGTAGCTGGTGTTATTTATCCCCTCTGCCCGCCTGTCACTCAGTTCTGAATGTTTTCATCAGGTTCAGCTTTCTGAACTTCAGAGCATGTTAGACCACAGAGTCCCCTGGACTTTGGGTTTCAGCCCACCAGGTCCCAGGGAGTAGGAGCACCAGGGGAAGACAGCAGCCTGTGAATCAGTCAAGTTCACACAAGAGGCTCTAGGGATATGGTTCAAATGGTAGAGCGCCTGACTGGCAAAACCCTGAGTTCAAAATCCAGTGCTTTGAATAAATAAATAAATAAAATATGGCAAAAACTTCACACAGGAAAAAGAAGAGAATGGAGACTGGACAGACCCAGGTCTGGGAGTTCTAATCCTCCAGTCTCCTATCTGGCACTGCTTAGATCTATAGTTCCTGCTCTTAACCCCATGTGATGGTTTTAAGTGTCTTCTTGAGGCCACACATGCAAAAAACTGCCTGGTCCACTCTCATCTGGATAGCTCCAGCACTGCCTATCCAATCCCAGCCGCCATGCCGATCATCTTGGTCTTCACACACAATGCACATAACACATACTACACATTTACACATCACATGCCATGAATCATACATTCACACAACACATATTGCACACTCACACTCATCACACATCACATACCATACACTACACACAATACGTACTACACACTCACACCACCATATAGCACACACTCACATATCACACACTGAACATTCACACCTCTCATCTGATTCTCACACTCATACACACACCCCCACACTCTCGCACTCATGGTCACACCCTTCATATTCACTCAATTATATTCATTCTCTCTCCCTCCCTGGGTGTCTCAGGCGACCCCAGCCCTCTATCCCAACAAATGACAAGGCCAGTTATACGACAGCTGCAGAGCACAGGGAAGAACCCTCTGACTGGGAAGTGTGGGCGCTATCCCAGCTGAAACCTCTGGCAGTCAGCCACTCTAACCAGAGCCTGAGGCCGCTCAGAGACAACTTGGCCCATTTGCAGGCTGGAGAGCACCACCAGGACAGTTCTGAGCCACAGAATCCCAGATAGCAGTGGGCAGGGCAGGGCAGGGCAGGGCAGGGTGGGGCAGGGTGGGCCGCCCACCCCCACATGCACTTCCTCTGCACCTGCTCTGAGCCTCACACTTGACCTCCACTGCGGAAGTTGTTGTTTTGGGTTTTGGAGAACATGTGACAAATCTGGTGTGTGTGTGGGCGAGTTGGGGAGTGGTGTGCACACAACCACTGGGGAACCTGGAGGCTCTGTGAACTGCTCCTCTCTAATAAAGTATGAGAGCAGCCTGACTCCTCTGTGGGCACAAGGGGCTTCATTGCCTGGTGGTGGAATCTGGGGAACTGATTCCATGAATGAAACAACCAAGATGGAAGTCCTGAAGATCCTCCACTTTAAAGGGCTTTCAAAGCACTTCCACAGCTGCGACTTCTGCTGGGTGTCATAAAAGATGTGTGAAGTAGGCAGGACAGAGACTGTCTCCATTTCATCAGTGAGAAACCCAAAACTGAGGGAAGCTTGCCCCAAACAGAAGGTGGCAATTAAGCCAGCCAGGACAAGGACTCACATCTTCTGACCTGAGTCCAAAGTTCCTTCATTATATGTTGTGGTCTCAGCACCTCTCACTTCTCCCCCCATCAGTGAACTTCAGCCTTTGCACTTGCAGTCCTAATGGGTGGCTCTGCCAGGCAGCTGTGACTTCAGGCAGAGTTACTGAATGTGACTTGTCATACCTACTCCTGGACAGAGGGAAGTACCTTAGGGAAACAGCTGGGGGCAGTGATGACTGAGGGAGTGCTGAGGTTCTGGGCAAGCTGTGGGTAAGACCAGGAATGATGCTCTGTATGAGGGAATGCCAAGGGTCCCTTGGTCCCACATTCATTTATTGTCTAGTTAAAGAAATTGAGAAATTTGCTAGAGAAAACTAGTGAATTGCTCAATGTCCACAGTCTCCCCACACAGCAGATGCTCAAGTGTTTGACAAGTGAGTGAACTGGTGACTGATAAAGGGCCGTAGCCATCATCTTCTGACTTCAGATTCAAGCCTCCCAGTCTTCCTCAGGTTGGCTAAAGTAAATAACTCCAGGTCAGGAGTCAATTAGAATACATAAGGCTCAGGTGGCTCCTCCTAGAAAAATTTCTAGGCAAATTTCTTTTGCTAAGGCAAAGAAATATCAGGCCCGGTGGTTGCTAACAGTCTTTGGAGGTTTCTAGCCCTTTGAACCTGGGTGACCCGTTCTTACATAACATGTTTTCTTAACTCAGCTTCCCCTGGGGTTTGTTAGCATTTTCTTTTTTAGCCTAGGACTAGTTAGCAAACAAGATAGGTTATCATTTCCTCATTTTTAAGCCTTTGTCTTTCAAGGGGACCACAATCTTTTGCGATCTCCTGATTGTGAAGATTGTGAAGGAAGTCTCTGCCCCCACTCCAGTGGACCTTGGATGAGATCTTGCTCTAGAAGGAATCATGAACCTCTGGCTTTGGTCACTTTACTTCCTGCCACGTAAGTACTATGGGGAAACACTTTAGGCTTTTTATGAGGTTTGAGTTAGCCACAGGTAATCCTTTGGAAGGCACCTTTATCTCTGATGTTTCTGGACAGATTCAGTTTCAGGAGAAGGATGGAGGTCCCATGCAGCATTGGACACACTCTCCAGTCCCTCCTAGTTCTCCCTCTCCCCATTCAGACACTTTTTTTTTTTTTTTTTTTTTTTGCAGTACTGGGGTTTGAACTTAGGGCCTACACCTTGAGCCACTCCACCAGCCCTTTTTTGTGTTAGGTATTTTCGAGATAAGGTCTAGGGAATTAATTGCACGGGGCTGGCTTTGAACCTCAATCCTCCTGATCTCTGCATCCTGAGTAGCTGGGATTATAGGCATGAGCCACCAGCACCTGGCTCATTCAGACACTTTTGCTCAGGTCAGGTGTTATTTCTTATGGGCTGAGGTGTTACCTCTCCTAGACATATTCATCTACTAATATGGGGATCCCAAAGCTAGCACCTCCAAAGTTCTTTCTTCTAACCTCTGTGTTCTCCTCCTATAGATCTTTTTCATTTTTTTGTGTAGTACTGGGGTTTGAACTCAAGGCCTCATGCTTGCTAGACAGGTCCTCTACCACTTGAGCCACTGCACTAGCCCAAATCTTTTTCATTCTTGAGTTTCCAACTTTCAACTCTAAATGAATACTCCCCAATCCATCCAACAACCCTAATTATTTCTTGAATTCTGTATTTCAATTTATAACTGCCTTCTGGGCAACCCAACTTCAATATCCCACCAAGATATGAAATATAACATGCCTAACACCTTGCCTCAAACTACTCGTTGGTCACCATTCAATCATAGGTATCTCTAACATCAGCCACAAAAGGCCAGAAGCACGTTCTGCCACCCGGACTTTAGTCCAATCAATGGCCAATTCACGTAGTTTCTACATTCACATTTACTGAGATGAGAAGTAATGGCAGTTTCTTCTAGGGAGGTAACAGGAAATGGAAAGGAAAGCCTAATTCTCTGCCATCTGTCTTTCCCACTTTCTCCAACTCAGTCTGAATGCAGCTCCAAATTAATCTCTCTACAGCCCGACTTTAACCATAGGATTGCCCTCCACAGAAACATCAGTGGCTCTCACTGTCTACTGAATTAAATGCACTCTGCTCCCTTGCACACTGAGCTTACCTTACCCTTGCACCTTCTTCCAGTCGAACAGGACCTCTTCCTGAACAAATGCTGCACGTTCCCACTGTCGTGCACTTGCTCTGGCTATTCTGCTGCCAGGAACATCCTTCTCCCCTTCACCGTTATGGATTCTTCAAAGTCCATCTCGAACTTCACTTTCTTCTGATAGATATTCCTGAACCCCCTGTTCGGAGCTAGATCCAAATACTGATCAAGTTCATCCTGTGACTACATTCATCTTGTGTGTTTATTTCATTTGGTTTGTTAAATGATATGCCCCTTGAGAATCAAAATGGCTTCTTATTCATATTTGCTTTCTTTATGATATCTTGAATATAGAAGAAACTCAAATATGTGTTGCACTGAAGAAGCTTTAAAAGGCCAACAGAATGAAGTTTTAATGCAATGCAGTACACTCTGAGAAGTACTGGAACATGTGCACACAGCATATGGCCAGCTAAACATAGCCCTGAGAAAGAAGAGGGGTGGGGAGTGGAAGATCTAATGGCCTAAAAGGTACCTTTGTATCCTGCCCAAAAAGATGGTTGATGGGCTTCATATACATGAAATAGAATGATGAAACCTCTTGCAATTGCTTTACGTGGGGCAAGGAGAGGGTTGCAGTGGGGCTGGGATAGATGATGGGGGCTATCTAACCAAGGTACAGTGTAAGTCTACTTGGAATTGTCACAATAAATCCCCTGTACAACAAATATATCCTAATAAAAAGGGGGAAGGGGAAAAAAAGCTAAAAAAGAAGAGGAAGGAGAGAAAGAATAAGGAGGAGGAGGAGTAAGAGGAGGAGGAGGAAAGGAAGAGGAGGAGGAGGATGAGAACAAGGGGAGTAGGGGTGGAAGGGGAGAGGTGAGAGGGGACTGGGGAGGAGCAGCCATAAGAATGAGGTGTCATGGCAGCCAAGAGGAGAGGGTTTCAGGAGGAGGGCTCAGGTCCTTCAAATGCAGCTGAGGGAAAAGTGAGATGAAGTCAAACAAACAACAACTACAATGCAGCAACAAGTTAGCTTTGGTGACTTGGATAAGAGCAGCTTCCACAGAAAGTTAGAGGCAAAATCCTGATGGGAGTAGATTAAAGAGAAATTAGAGGTGTGGAAGTGAATTCGATTTACTGAATTTGATGACTCGTTTGAGAAAGAGAACAGAGAAGAGGAGACGCCAGTGGCGGGGAGGCAAAGGTAAACAAGGGGTTTTTAAAGGTGGCAATGTCAGGGCCTGTGTAAGCTATGACAGGGATAAAAGAGGAGAAACCAACAAGACAGGCAGAGAAGAGGGATCTTTATAGGCAGACTTCTAATGCTGGTGAGAAGGGCACACCTGGTACGCAGGGAGGGACTGAGCTGTGAAAGTAGGTAGGACACTACATTGTCTGCACCAGGACAACTAGGTTGCTATAGATGGAAGTGGGAATCTGAGTGGACGTTTCTTGTCCTTTGTTAAGGACTTTAAATTTTCCATGGTCCTCCACCATTTTTTTTTTTTTTTGCATTACTGGGGTTTGAACTCGAGGCTTCATACTTGCTAGGCAGGCTCTCTACCACTTGAGTCATGCCTCCAGACCTCCATGCCTCTTCTGATAAACATAAAAATCTCAGGCCAGCTCTCCCCTTCCTGGCACTCTGCTCTCCTTGAGGTGGTCACATCATCCTCACTCTCACCTAGAAATTTACCACTACACGGAAGCCACAGTCCAAAATGTCCCAAGCCACCAAGGCCCTATGAAATTTTACTGTATTTTGCTCTGGGGATACTTTGGGGTATTCCAAACACATGTTTATATCCAATTATATATTGAGAGTAACTTTTTAAACAATGTATCTCCCTCTCTTCTACAATTACCCCTAAAAATCATATCACCAATTTAGAGATTGATATCATTTATTCAGTAGCCTCTCTAAAATGCTAATATTAAACAGGTTGATTCCTTTAGATACCCCATCCCTCCTTTATTTTCCAAAATAATTTTTGTAGTTATTTATTTTTCTCCTGAGATAAAAATGTATAAGCACTTTTTTTTTTTTTTTTTTGCAGTACTGGGATTTGAACTCCAGGCCTCATGTTTGCTAATCTGGTGCTCTATGGCTTGAGCCATGCCCCCAGACCTTTTTGTTTTTAGTTTAGTTTTGTTTTTTTCAGGTAGGATCTCATGCTTTTTTACCCTGAGTTGGCTTTGGACTGTGATCCTCACCAGGTGCTCTACCACTTGAGCCACATTCCCAGCAAGGACTGTGATCCTCGAGATCCCCACCTCCTGAGTAGCTGGGATCACAGGTGTGAACCACCACTCCCAGCCCTGGTATAAATGTTTTTAAATAGTCCTCTTTTTTAAATTTTTGGCAGTGCTGGGGTTTGAACTCAGGGCCTTATGTTTACTAAGAATGTGCTTTACCACTTGAGCCACTCCGCCAACTTAAACAGTCCTCTTTTTTTTTTTTCATTTTTCTTTTATTATTCATATGTGCATACAAGGCTTGGTTCATTTCTCCCCCCTGCCCCCACCCCCTCCCTTACCACCCACTCCGCCCCCTCCCTCTTCCCCCCCCCAATACCCAGCAGAAACTATTTTGCCCTTATTTCTAATTTTGTTGTAGAGAGAGTATAAGCAATAATAGGAAGGAACAAGGGTTTTTGCTGGTTGAGATAAGGATAGCTATACAGGGCATTGACTCACATTGATTTCCTGTGCGTGGGTGTTACCTTCTAGGTTAATTCTTTTTAATCTAACCTTTTCTCTAGTTCCTGGTCCCCTTTTCCTATTGGCCTCAGTTGCTTTAAGGTATCTGCTTTAGTTTCTCTGCGTTAAGGGCAACAAATGCTAGCTAGTTTTTTAGGTGTCTTACCTATCCTCACCCCTCCCTTGTGTGCTCTCGCTTTTATCATGTGCTCATAGTCCAATCCCCTTGTTGTGTTTGCCCTTGATCTAATGTCCACATATGAGGGAGAACATACGATTTTTGGTCTTTTGGGCCAGGCTAACCTCACTCAGAATGATGTTCTCCAATTCCATCCATTTACCAGCGAATGATAACATTTCGTTCTTCTTCATGGCTGCATAAAATTCCATTGTGTATAGATACCACATTTTCTTAATCCATTCGTCAGTGGTGGGGCATCTTGGCTGTTTCCATAACTTGGCTATTGTGAATAGTGCCGCAATAAACATGGTGTGCAGGTGCCTCTGGAGTAACAGTCTTTTGGGTATATCCCCAAGAGTGGTATTGCTGGATCAAATGGTAGATCGATGTCCAGCTTTTTAAGTAGCCTCCAAATTTTTTTCCAGAGTGGTTGTACTAGTCTACATTCCCACCAACAGTGTAAGAGGGTTCCTTTTTCCCCCATCCTCGCCAACACCTGTTGTTGGTGGTGTTGCTGATGATGGCTATTCTAACAGGGGTGAGGTGGAATCTTAGTGTGGTTTTAATTTGCATTTCCTTTATTGCTAGAGATGGTGAGCATTTTTTCATGTGTTTTCTGGCCATTTGAATTTCTTCTTTTGAGAAAGTTCTGTTTAGTTCATTGCCCATTTCTTTATTGGTTCATTAGTTTTGGGAGAATTTAGTTTTTTAAGTTCCCTGTATATTCTGGTTATCAGTCCTTTGTCTGATGTGTAGCTTGGCAAATATTTTCTCCCACTCTGTGGGTGTTCTCTTCAGTTTAGAGACCATTTCTTTTGATGAACAGAAGCTTTTTAGTTTTATGAGGTCCCATTTATCTATGCTATCTCTTAGTTGCTGTGCTGCTGGGGTTTCATTGAGAAAGTTCTTACCTATACCTACTAACTCCAGAGTATTTCCTACTCTTTCCTGTA